GGATTTTAGTGGTCAGTAGCAGGATGATCTAGAAAAGGTCCTGCCTATTGATCTACCCAGAAGCAATAGTTTGAGCTAATACTTTTTGAGGGACGAGTGGGTTGGGGAGGGTGACAGGGATTGAGCCCAGGCCACTCACACTAAACTACATCCTCCACCCTCTATTGTTTTTTATGTTGAGACACGGTCTCATTAAGTTGCTACGTTGTGCAGGCTGGCCTCAAACTTGCCATCTTCCTGCCTCAGCCTCGCAAAGGGCTACAATTACAGGGGTGCACCACCACAAGAAATGTGTTACGTTTTTCAAAAGCTTTTTATTACAGAGAATTCCAAGCCCATGCAGGCACAAACAGAACTGTCCAATGAACCCATGTGCCTGTCGCTTTGCTTCAACAACTATCAGTAACTCATGGCCAGCCCTGTTTCACCTTCACTCTGGCCTCTTTCCTCCCTAGACCTCTCATGTTTTATTCATAAACAAAACAAAACAAAACAAAGAAACAAACAAAAAAGCCCACAGTCTAAGCTCACTTCAGCACAAAGAAAAAGAAAAAAAAAGAAAAGCCCAAGACTGTGAAGGGAGGAAAGAGATGGCAGCTAAAAAGTGGGCCTTGGGTCTTTTATTTTCTACATTTTTCTCTTGCTCAAATTTTACACAAGGATCTGGTCCTCTTACAAGCAGATTTAACATGAACCTACAATACTGACACACATCCACTGCACCTACTCCGACTGCCTGGGAAACAGCCCACACCACAGTCTGTCGGAGGCTGCAGGCTTGTGGCCTGCCTGATCCCGGCGGGTGAAGAGGCAGAACCCGTTCCCGTGCAGGGATAGTTGGGCCCTCCAATGGCTCAGACTTCGGGCTTGCTATGCAGTAAGTGCTTCACACAGAACAAAGCTTCTGGAAAGGTTTCTTCTCAGCTCGTGGAAGGATGCTTTCAACAATCCTCACCCTGCCAGACAGCCAGCCCACCACAAAGGCCTGTCTGTGGCTGAGGCTCCCGCCACCCAACCCCAACCCCCCAAAACCCACTCAAACGAGGCAAGTCTGGGCTCAGTGACTGGGGCTGCAAGTGCTAACTGGCCGGCGGTAAGAAGCTGTTCCGATCCCAAGGATGAAAGAAAGCAAACTCTCAGCTCTTCTAGAGATGAGATGGAATGTTTTCTAACCCTGGGTCTGAGTGGCAGAAACAAGGCAATGCAGGCCACACAGAGGAGAGAGCAAAAGTGGCCCTGACCTTAGTCTCACCACGGGCCAGGGTGACGTATCACAGCCCACCGCAGTGACCACTTTGTCTTCTACTTTAAGTGAGAAAAAGAAGCGAATTCCATATGGTCTAGCCATTCCACTTCTAGGTAGATTCGGAACTGAGAGCAGGGACACAGTTATTTGTAAACCCATGTTCAAAGAAGCATTGTTCACAACAGCTGAAAGATGAAAACAACCCAATGACTATCCATAGACGAATGGGTAAACAAAATATCGCACTATATGAGGGAATATTATGCAGCCACAAAAAGGAAATTCTCAAACATGTTACCACATTCATGAACCCTGAAAACATACGTGCTAAGTGAAGTAAGCCAGACACAAGAGCACAGATAACACATGCCTTTTCTACAGGTGGCAACAAATTCAGGGAGACAACAGAAAATAAAAAAGCTGGAGGGAAAGCCAGGCATGGTGGCGCATGCCTGTAATCCCAGCACTCGGGAGGCTGAGACAGAGGATCATTGTGGGTTCAAGACCAACCTGAGCTACATACATAGTAAGTTCCAGTTCAGTGTCAACTACAGAGTGAGACCCTGTCTCAAAAAAACAACAACAAAACAACAACAACAACAACAACAAAAAGCTGGAAGGAAAGGAGAATAGTTATTGTTTAAGGAATGTGGTGCTTTTCTGTGGGAAAATCCTGGAAATGGGCAGTGGCGATGGTTGCATGACATTGTGAATGTACTTAATACCATCAGAACATGAAAAATGGTTTAAAAGGTCAATTTTTATTAAACTCACACACATATAATCATATATGAGGGGGGGAAGCAGAGAGGGAGGAGGGGAAAAGAAGAGAGAGAGAGAGAGAGAGAGAGAGAGAGAGAGAGAGAGAGATCTTAATTCTTTCCATGATTCTGGTAGCGAACCAAATTGGACAAGAACCAAATCAAATTCAGTGGTTTACGTTCAGTGTTGATCTTGTAAGGAAATTTGATTTGGTTCTTGTCCAACTCAGTTTACAAGCAGAATTGTAGAAAAAATTAAGTTCATGAAGCTAGGTGTAGGTGTGTGTGTGCGTGCACGCATGCATAGACACGTAAGTGTATATGTGTGTACATATGTGTTACATGTATATTTGTATTATACATATATATATGTATGTGCATTATACTGTTTGTATCTCCACAATAAAAACACAAAGAAATTACAGACCCATATATAAATATGCAAGAAAAAAAATGTTGGCTTTCCCCCATGAGTGCACAATGCTTACAAAGAGACAGAAAAAGGAAGTAGCAGCGGCCAGCTACATTCCTGAATCCTAGCAAGTGGTCATTTTCTAGAAAACAGCACTGTGAAAGGAAACCATCTCACATTAACAATGGGGAGACTGGACAGCCAGTGATAAGGTCACTGCAAACAAGTATTTTAGGCCTTGATTAGATTCAATCCACTTGGCCAATTTTGTTGACAAGCTTTATTTGGCTGTAGCTTTTCTGTCACTTAGGAAGCATAATCTTTCAACGCAGAGATTTCGCACTCTAGCGATCTGCTTTGCTTATAGCACAGAGAAAGGAAGGGTGGACAGCGGCCTTGGAGTGACTGGCCTCAGAGACAAATAACTGCATCATCCCACTCACTGCCAGGCAGAACCTCAGAGATGGCAAGTGCGTCCAACCCAGCGTTTTCAGGCTGTCCCCTGGTCTAAAACAAGTCTGAAAAGACAAGTGAGGAGACCTGGCCATTGGGGAGAAAAGAGCACACGCTCAGCATCTCTGAGGGTCAGGTGATGCCAGGCAGGGCCACACTCCATAGGACAGGCAAATGCTCGGGACATCCTATGAGACAAGTGCTGACGCTCCTGAGAGCCAATGCTACAGGAACAGGGGGGAACTGTTCCACGTTTTAAAAGTCTAAAGAGAAATAATTAAATATTAAGTGAAGCTTAAACAGATCTTTTTTTTAAGGTAATTAGATCTTGATGTGTAAAACTATAACTAAAATCTTTAGGACAAACTGAAAACAAAATGAGTAAACAAAATATCGCACTATATGAGGGAATATTATGCAGCCACAAAAAGGAAATCCTCAAACACGCTACCACATTCATGAACCCTGAAAACATACGTGCTAAGTGAAGTAAGCCAGACACAAGAGCACAGATAACACATGCCTTTTCTACAGGTGCCAACAAAAGATTACCCGTTTTCTCATGTGTGATGCTGAATAAACACTGTGGTTTTGTAAAGAGATACCCTGTTCTTAACAGAAGTTCACAGATGTCTGAAGGAATAAACTGCCACCATGCCTGCAACTTATTTTCAAACAATTCATCATCATCGACAACAACATCTCTCTCTCTCTCTCTCTCTGTGTCTTTCTCTCACACATACAGAGGGCAAGAGAAAATTATTTACTATGGTAACAACTGCCGATTCTGGGAGAGGATATTCTGTGTGCATAAATGTCATCCCGATTGTAACTATGAAAATTAAGAATTAATTAAAATTAAAATTAGAGAAAGTAGTAAGGTGCATCTCACTGTGCTGATGGTTACTAGAAAATAAACTGTACAGCCATGTAACTGTACGCTTTTTTTTTTTTGGCACCGGGGATTGAACTCAGGACCTTGTGCTTATGAGGCAGGTGGCAGAACCACTGAGCTAAATCCCCAGCCCATGTAACTGTACTTTTAAAAGCTAGTGTGCTTGCCAAGTGTGGTGGCACATGTCTGTAATCCCAGCACTCAGGAGGCTGAGGCAAGAGGATTGCAGTGAGTTCAAGGCCAGCCTGGGCTACATAGTGAATTCAAAGCCAGCTGGAATGGGCAAAACCCTGTCTCAAAAAGAGAAAGGAAAAAAAAAAAAAAAAGCTAGTGTGCTTGAAGTCGGATGACAACTAGAGCAACAAGTCCCTCCAAATGGTTTTAACCTGCCATCGTGCTCTGAGCGGCAGTGTCCCAGAGATGCCTCTGAATTATAAACAGGATGTCTCAGGCAAGGAAGTATCAGCTGGGGTCAACAATAGCTCCCACCCAATCCATAAATCTGAAGCAGCTTTCACCCAAAAGGAGAGATGAGTCAGCAGCCATGTGACCCAGCTCTTGCCCACCCACCACCGACTGGCAACCTGGGGAAAGACCCCTTCCCACCCTGTGGACCAGGCTGTGGTTCCTCTTCTGAAAGTTAAGAGCAGTGGCCCTTTCTTAGTCCCACCAAGAAAGTTACTGCTCCGGGGCTGGGGATTTAGCTCAGCGGCTCGGTGGCCTGCCTTGCAAGCACAAGGAGCAGAGTTCAATTCCCAGTACCAAAAAAAAGAAAAAAGAAAAAGAAAAAAGAAAGTTACTGCTCCAAAATCACAATATCATCATTGTCTATCACATGACAAAAGCATTTCTTAAAGCCTTCAATTGACAAAGCAGAAATATTATGGTCATAAATAAGTGAATCTCCCAGACATGGTGTCACATGTCTACAATCCCAGCACTTGGAAGGCTGAGGCAGGAGGATCATTGTGAGTTCGAAACCAGCCTGGGTTACATAGTGAGTTCCAGGGCAGTCTGAACTACACAGTGAGATCCCATCTCAAAAACAAACAAACAAACAAACAACTAACTAAATAAATAAATCTTAATTTTAAAAAATTATATGACAAAGGAGGCCTAGAGTATCTTGAAAGATTAAGCCAATTCTTTCTGATTCTGAGAACATTTCTTTTGAAGCCATTTAATAATCAACACCAGAGGACAAGCCCTAGTTCCAACCAGATCCGCACTTACCTCTGCCATAGGCCCTGGCTTTCTTTGGGTTGAGCTTGGGTTTGAGAGGAGCACCTGGCTTGAGTTTGGCTTTGGGAAACTGGGACAGGTAAGTCATCACCGAGTGCTCATCCACATCTGGGTGAATAATCTCTTCAGGCGTGATGACCTGGGACGAGGACAAAGTAGGTGAATGCTGGCATCACTCTGTTACAAATGTTAAGAAACTGAGTTGGCTTCTCATATAAGTGGAATCACATTCACCTACACACCAAGAATGACAGAGTTTTGAACTTTTTAGGGTCCTCACCAGCCCCTTTGGAAGCTGTGGGACAAAAATTCAAGCCCTTCACCTCCTCAAAGATTATTTTCAATGCTCTGGTCAAACTCTCCAGAAAGGACAAAGGAACAGACTATAACAAAACAGGAGGAAGAAGAAATAAGCACACACATGATTAGAAAATATTACCCAAAAAACTCATAAAAGGGCCTCTTCTGCTCATAGATTCACTGTGTGCTTCTCTATTAATACCCTACTACTGCAGTAACATAGAAAAGACCCATCGGTGACAACACAGAGACTTATTAGATATGTGGTCTCTAGACCACAGATATTAGCTATTAGGGGCCGTTTTTTAAAAGAAAAGTGAGGAAAGAGTGAATTTCTCCTGACATTCAGCTTCACAGCAAGACTAGACAGGCAATCCCTCTGAAGGTGTCAACAATCTCAGCTCCCCAGATGTCCCCAGATTTAAAGCATGTGAAGTCCTTTCTGCCTCCAACCAGGGTGCCGAGCACATAAGCCACCTCCTCGGATAGACAGGCTGTCCCGTAAGCCAGGTGAATCAAGATGATGAACAGATGAACTCAATTTCCCTCTCTCTGCGATAGCAAGCCCCAGAAAACATTCCGAGCACTACATTAGCCTACAGGAACAAAACAGCTATTTGGGTTTGAGCAGTCGCCTACAATACATTCCATAAAAAGTAGGATGTGTGCTGATTTGCCTCAGCGGCTCCTTTGACAACTTCACAGTGCCAGCATCACATGAACATCAAAAGGAGATGGTTTCGGGTTTAGGATCAGAAGAAAAACATACCATATACCACTTCTTTGGGTTGGATGAGCCAAGAAACAGATCATGTAGCAGAGACATGACTTCAAACCAAACCAAAAAACAGTCAAGCTCTTTCCACCTTCCAATGAATCATGTTACAAAATATACTCAATTTAACCCTGAACACCAACTCTGACCTTAACAGAGCCCAGAGCAAGGTCCTCAGTCCCATCGCACCGGCTACCTATACATTCTCTTTGACAGGGTTTTGACCCTGGGAGGCATGGTACTTACTTAGGGGGAGTTTAGGGGGAAAAACACTGGTTTTCCTCCCTGTTAACAAGACAGGACTCAACCAAGGAACATGGCCTCTGTAGACGGGATCTAAGACTTTCAATTTCCAAATTCTTTTTGTGTGATAGGACTAGGAACACTGTAAGGTCTTCCATCATTTCCAGTATGGTGATGTTCCACCCAAAAAAATGTACATTTCAGCAGTTCACTGTACTAATAAATGATGTTTGGAAAAAGGGGCCACTTTGAGCACCTCTTGTAATTGTAGAGGCCAAAAGTAACTTGTATTAGTCTCATGTCTCAATAAATTTAATGCTAAAATATTTATACAGGTTTTTCCTGATGTATATATTGTGTATTTGCATACACACACACACACACACACACACACACACACACACACGTGTGATACCACAGTACTGACACCACAGCAGCATACTACAGTAGCCAAAGCTCAAACTAAGAGTTAAAAATTTTGAAAGTCTTCAAGATATGCAGCAAAAAAGAACAGAAAAATTCCAGCATGTGACAAAGAGTGACATGAAGATTCCTGGATGATGTACAAGTACCTAGGTCCATGAGAACCTATTATTACGGTAAGTGGAGCAAGATAAAGGTCAGAGGAACGCTCTTTGAAGGCTGAAGGCTGAGACAGTCAATCGCCTGTCTGACCCAGAAAGATGTCCTGAGTGCCAGAAACAAAGCCAAGGGTGAGAGATGATACAGGCATACATACCTGCGGGACGCCCAGCCAGTCATCTGCCTGCTGCATGGCTTCTCGGGCATTATCCACAGGCTTTCGTGGATCCCAGGACTCCCAGTCTGGGCACAGACCTGTTGACACACACAAAAGATGCTTTTAGCATTAGCTGACTGAAGAGATTAGAAGAATCCCTGGGCTGAAACATAAACCCATTCGGTCTCAACTCAGAATAATCTCCCCCAAATTCTCAGTGAATGGCACATTTTATGGGCAAAATTTGCCACCGACAGGAGTGTGCCAGAATGGAAACTGCTCTACATTGGCACCCATTTCTCCTTTGCTGTGCTGCTCTGTATGAAGACGCACTTCACGTTCCTTGAAGGTCTGCTATATAAACAAATCCTGTAAAACTGTTTGGGCCTAGTGCCTTTACATAGAAGAGATTGTTTTGAACCTATTCCTGGCTATATCTAAAAGAACAGAATTAATATACTGTGTGATTCAAAAGTCCACTTGTTCAGGCCAGGAATTTAGCTCAGTGGTTCTGTGCCTGCCTCCCAAGCACAAGGACCTGAGTTCAATCCCTGGTACAAAAAAAAGTCCACTTGTTCAAGGGCACAGTACTGCCAGGCATGGTGGCACACGCCTGTAATCCCAACACTTAGGAGGCTGAAGCAAGAGGATTGCCCCAAGTTCGAGGCCAGCCTGGGCTACATGCTGAGTTCAGAACCAGCCTGAACTACATACACAGGGAGGAGACCCTGTCTCCAAAAGGGAGAGGGGTGCAAGCAATCCTACGATTATTTTAAGAGCCTTTGAAGCACAAGTAGTATAAAACTAGAATTAAAATCCTCAAATTTAAACTCGAAAGAGGCATCCTAAATTGTGTCAGGAGACAGAAGGAAGGGGGCACAAGGACATGAGCTAACAGTGCTTCAAATCACCCGAGATAACTCCAGTTTAGAGCCTGTGGGGGAAGACTGAGGCCTTGAATCAGCCCCACTCCCATACGCAGCTGACATTAGCCTATCTGCTCCGAGTGTGCTGAGAACCATCACCTTCTAACCATGAACATGCCCAGCACATAGAGAACACTTGGTAAAAGGAAAATATAATTGTTAGGCTTTTTTAAATTAAAAACAATTTTGGGAGGGATGTATAAACTCTGGCACTGGTTTTTCTGTTGAGCGTGTACCAGCAAACTCTACCGATCTATCTAAACCCTCCAATGGGGATAATTACAATCGTGGGGTGCACTCAACCAAGGGTGGAGAAGGCTCCAACTGGATCCTGACCGAGCACGGATCCACAGAAATACAGAAAGGGGCAAAGAAAACCATATATAGTCAAACCAGTGGTTAATAGAAATGGGTACTTTCCACTCCGTGGAATTTTTTAGACTTTCACGCCAAGCCACCTAATAGGACCACATGTTGCTGTTGAAGCCAAGGAGAAACCAGGCCCCAGTGTGGGAAGACACAGGACTCTGGAGTCTGGAAGCTAAAAACCAAAGCCTGCTTGAAGCTCGAGCACTGAGACCTTCGCTGGGCACTTACACAAATGGCTGGATCTGATGCTGAGGCTTAAACATGCCTGTGGACACGCCTAGAAGAGCTGGGCGAACAGCGTGTGTGCTCCCGCTGTCTGTCTTACACAGCAACCACAGCAAAGCTAGAATTCCCACCACAGCCGCGGGCCCAGGACCCACCCACTCCCACGGAGGGATGGATGAGGGAGCGGGGCGCTTACCCGGGGCACAGCTGTCCACCAGGGCTCCCAGGGCTTTGCCGTCCTGCCAGTTCTGGTTAAAGTTGGTGATGGGCAGGTAGGGGATCTTGTTCTGGATCCAGCCCAGCAGCCTCTGCTTTGGCGTCTGCTTCTTGGCGTCATCGTCCCCTTCGTCCTCCCACACGGGCATGGAGATGGAGTAGTGGAGAATCAGGGTCCACACCAGGCCCAAGATGAGCTTCAGGTTCCCATCCACAATGGCCTTGCTATCTGAGGAGACAGGCGCAGCTTGGTCATCCTTGGGTTGTGCTCCTTCTAAAGAAGTAAATGCGCTTTCCCCCATTAGAGAACCGTACCGAGTGAGCAGGTGCATTGCCAAATAACTGCTTGAAAGTACTTGAGGGTGGGAAAGGATGAAAAAATGACTCTAAAATGTCATTAACTGATGCCACTGTATCATGACAACACATTATACATTGTATTATTGTTTCTCTATTCTAGCGCATACTTAAAATTTTACGTAATAAAAAAAGTTTATCATTGAAAGAAATCATGCCAGGCGTGGCAGCGTATGTCTGTAATTCCAGCATTCGGGAAGGGAGACTGAGGCAGGAGGACCACAAGTCTGAGGCCAGCCCTGGCCACACCATGAGTTCACTACATAGTGAGACCCTGACCCAAAAATCTGAAAGGAAGAAAAAAACGTTCAGAAATATAGACCAAGAGAAAGGAGTGGGCGCCTCACAGGCAGCAGTCTGATACTGGTGGCATAGTCTATCAGACTGTGTGTATACTACACTAACAGCTACCCGTGTGCTGCTAAACAATCAGGTTTTCTGTTGGTTGCTCATTCGTTAGTTTGTTTGTGTACTTCTCTGTTGCTTTGTCTTAGTGGTGCTGTGGATCAAACCCAGGACCTTACACGCTAGGCAAGAGCCCCACCATTGATCTACATGTCCAGTCCTACAAAAATTTTCCCCCAGTACTGGCGATTGAACTCTGGGCCTTCCCAAGGTTTTACTAAGTTGAGCAGGCAGGGCTCAAATTTGTGATCCTTTTGCCTCAGCCTCCTAGAACACAGGGATGACAGGTATGTGCCATCATGTCTGGCTTATGATTGGTTTTGAAATGCTCCCCCCTAAAAATTATGTCCTAGTCACCATTCCCCTATAAAAAGTTGTTTCTATTGGGCCAGGGATTTAGCTCAGTGGTTCCGCCACCTGCCTCGCAAGCACAAGGATCCAAGTTCAAGCCAAAAAGTTGTTTCTACACACTCTTTATCTACAGGTTCAAGAAGCCAGCTTCCCCTTAAATCTCACCAACAATGAGTGATATCAATTGTCTTCATCTCAGCTACCCTGACAAGTGAGTCATTCAGAAGAGGAAACCCCAAAGGGGCTAAAGCAACTGGACAAAGTCTCTGGTGGCCAGGAGGGTAAGCGATTAAGCCAAAGTCCTCCAAAGTCCTCCCTCCACCAGCACTTCCGTTTCTCTGTCCGCTTTCCTGTTTCCACCTACACCATCCAAGCACAGACATCTGTAGAAGCAATATCTCCTCTTTTTCTCTCTCCTTCTAAACATCATCCACTGAAACTTCATCTCAGCGCTATCGCCCCACCCTGTCCCACCCAGCCACCAGCAGCCACCTGAACACGGGTTAAATACAACCGAACTACACATAACGAAACTCAACAACAACCACATGAAAAGCACATACATGCTGCTGGGGCCTGCTTGGCCTGCCACTCAACACTGAAAGGCTGGGGCTTTTTAAAAAAGTTAACCTATTGTTACATTTCTTGCAACAAAAGACCTTATTTAAAAGCCCACACCCAGAGCCACAGAAACCAGAATTTCACAGTTGTACAAATAGTATCTATATCTGATCATCTATCTACATATGATCACCGACACTGGACAAATAAACATCACCATAATCGGGCTGATAAGTCCAAATCCAAACAATCCTCATTCCAAGTTAAGGTATCAAGAGGTATTGTGGTTTGTTTTGGTATTGGTACTAGAGATTGAACCAAGGGCTTTGTGCATGCCAGGCAAGCATCCTACTGCTGAGCTACATCCCGAGCCCTTTTTCTTTTGAGACAGTGTCTCGCTGAGTTGCCTAGTGGTGGCCTCAGACTTGTGATCCTCCTGCTCAGCCTCCTGAAGACTTAGGGTAACAGGCACATGTTACGACATCCACCTGCATCCGGGAATTTCTATGTAATCAACTGATAAAAAGACGAGCAGGACTATTTCATTTACTCATACATAATTCATGGGGTCCAGTAGAAAATGGCAACTGGGGGGCCTTTTGATCAAAAAGTATTAAGAGGGCCAGGATTTAGCTCAGTGGTTCCACCGCCTGCCTTGCAAGCACAAGGTCCTGAGTTTGATCCCTGGAACCAAAAAAAAAAAAAAAAAAAAAAAAAAAAAAATTAAA